CAGCCACTCCTCGGAAGGAAGATGGGGCAATCTACTTCCGTAGTGATACTGCCTCGGAAACCCAAGGAGGAGTCGCTATGAGTTGGGTCCGACTCAACGGCACATAACAACAACAACAACAACAACAACAACAACAGTCCCCAGAAAGTGCGCTCCTCCAGACCTTTATACCCTCTGCCACTCCTTAGCAGTGGACGCGTCCCCTGGCGCGCGCCTTCCCCCCTTCGGTATGCCCCGTGGATCGGCCCGTGACATCACAAAGACGCGGCCCAATCAGACTGCGTATTTAGGAAATTTTAAACTTAAAGGCGGGGCGGCTGGGGCGCCCTGGGATACTGGAGAGGCTCCGGACATAGAGGGTCTTCTCCATTCCCTTTGGTGGGATCTGACGTGATGGCGGAGGAAGGGGCTGTAGCTGTCTGCGTGAGGGTCCGGCCACTCAACAGCAGGTAGGTGCACCAGGCCCTGATCAGGTTCTGACTTAGGCCCCCGGCGCCGGCCGCGGCAAGACAGGTAAGTCCTTGGATGTTTTCCCTGAGCTGCCCCTTCCAGCACCGCTACCTTGTCATTCGACTGCATACCTGCTTTTTGCCTCGATTTTCTCCCTTGTAAAGAGACCGAGAAGGCTCAGAGGATCTAGAAGGCACTTTCTAGCTACGGAATTCAGGCTTGCTGAAGTTACGCACTTTAACCCCGGGGCTCCACTGCCTTTCCTGCTTATGGGCGGTCCCACCTCTCTTCTCTCTCTAAAATCAATCAGGGAGGTCCTTCTGGCACTCAACACAGTTAGTCACTTTACACACACCTAACTGTCTTTCCTTATTAACTGTAAACTCTGTGGTAGCAAGGACTAGTCTATTATGTCGCGTTGTATTCAGTAGGCACTCAGATTTCACTCATTTAACAAGTATTTATCAATAGTGATTTTTTTAGTACATTATACTGTACCGAAGGCGCTCTGGCGGTGTAGTGGTTAAGGCATTTGGCTGCTAACCAAAAGGTTGGTGGTTCAAACCCACCATCTGCTCTGCAGAAGAAAGAAAAGGCAGTCTGCTTCCATTAAGATTTACAGCCTGGAAACCCAATGTGTGTTGCTATGAGTTGGAATCAACTTGATGGCAGTGAGTTTGGTTTGTAATACTGTACCAGACAAGACCATCGTTGCCCTCCTTACATTCCAGGAGGGAACACACAAAATAAAGTAAAAAATGTAGAGGTTTAGGTGGTAATAAGGAGTAATAAATGTTACAAAGAAAAAGAAAGCAGGAGAAGTGACTGAATGAATTTTTATTTCTCTAGTCTCTGACCCTTTCTTCAGAATACTAACTTACATTTTGTGTTTGACAAATATTTATTGAACACAACTGAGTAATTCACTGAGAATATCAAGATGGAGAATTTCCTATTTTTAAGGAACTCATCTAATGAAGAAGACAGCTACATAAATAAATCATTACAATACATAGTGACAAGTGTTGTGATGGCAGGTGGGGAAGAGCCATGGGCCCATCAAGGAGATGACAGTTTGGGATGGAGGGATAGTGTTAGGAAAGTCCTTAATGAATGAAAATCGATCCAAACCCATTGCCTTTGAGTTGCTTCTAACTCATAGTGACCCTAAAGGGCAGAGTAGAACTGCCCCATAGGTTCTCCAAGGCTATAAATCTTTACAGAAGCAGACTGATTCATCTTTCTACTTTGGAGTAGGTGGTGGGTTCGAACTGTCAACCTTTTGCTTAGTAGCCCAGTGTTATAACCACAGCACCACCAGAGCGCCTTCATGAATGAAAGAGTAGGTAAATAGCTAAGTGAAAAGGAAAGCCAGGGTATCCCCAGACATAGAGGTGGTTGTTGTTTGTTGTTGGGTGCCATCAAGTCGCTTCCGACTCAAAGCGACCCCATGCACAAAAGTATGATTACAATTACTAGTAGTTGTTCACTATTTAGAGGAACTGAAAACTGATTTCCTGATACTGTTTGGATGGTGATTCCACATTAACTATCAAACCTGAAGACACACATACTTTTATTGCAGTAATTTCACTTTTAAAAATGTAGATATATTTGAAGGTGTGTGCAAGGGCATATATACAAAGCTGTTGCAGCATTGTTTACAACAGTAAACAACTGGAAACATACTAAAAGCCTGTAATTGGGAGCTCTGGTGGTGCAGTGCCTAAGACATTTGACTGCTAACCAGAAGGCTGGTGGTTCAAACCCACCAGCCACTCCTCAGAAGGAAGCCTGGGCAATCTACTTTCCTAAAGATACTGGCTTGGAATTAAGGGAGTAGGTAAATTGGTAACATTATGTTCATACAACAAAGTGCTATGCAGCCAGTGATTTGTTAGTCCCTTTAAAATAGAGGTGGTAGATCTGTCATTTTGAGGAAAACATCAAGTAACTTTATATGGAGTTTAGAATGTCTACAGGAATTTCAAGGAAGATGAAGTTGAAGAGAGATATACATGATGCATATTAAAGATTTTAAGAGTTCCCTGAAGACTTTTTAAGGGTTTTAAGCAGGAGGGACACAATCAGAATTGCATTTAGAATCTGTCCTTTCAACTAGCAATAGTGGGAAGGTGGCAGGGTAGAAGTGAAGGGTTTTGCAAGAAGAATCCTGTAAGAAGGTAGGAGGTCACTGGAGCCTCATTTAAAAGAGTTGAACCTCAAAAATGGATTCTCCACATCTTCCTTTTTTATATATACTGTCTTTAAAAGATGTTTCACTGTTACTGATAAGGTTTTCAGTGGGCAATTTTTTCAGAAATAGCCCAGTCCCTCTTCCTAGTCTCTCTTAGTCTGAAAGCTCAGCTGAAACTTGTCCACCACTGGTGATCCTGCTGGTATTTGAAATACTGGTGGCATATCTTTGAGCATCACAGCAACATGGAAGCCACCAGAGTATGGCAAACTGACAGACAAGTAGTGGTACAGCCAGCCAGAATGCTCCTTAGAAGCAAGTATGGCCATATTTCATCTCACCTACTTTTGTCATGTTGTCAGAAGGGACCAGTCCCTGAAGAGGAGATCGTGCTTAGTAAACTAGAGGGTCAGTGAAAAAAGTCCTCAACAAGATGGATTGACACAGTGGCTGCAACAATGGGCTTAGGTATAGCAATGACTGTGTAGATGATGCAGGACTGGGCATTGTTTGACACAGTGGCTACAACAATGGGCTTAGGTATAGCAATGACTGTGAAGATGATGCAGGACTGGGCATTGTTTTATTCTGCTGTACCTAGGGTAACTGAGTCGGAACCAACTTGCTAGCACCTACTAACAAAAACAAATAATATTCTTCAGAAGGTATTTTCAATTATGTTCACTATAACATGATCTTTGTGACCAGTTATACTTCAATACAATATTTTTATTTTATAGAGAAGAATCTCTTGGAGAAGATACTCAAGTTTACTGGAAAACTGACAAGAATACTATTTATCAAGTTGATGGAAGTAAATCCTTCAATTTCGGTAAGCTTGTGATAGTATAATGGGAGCTCTGGTGGCGCAGTGCCTAATGCATTTGACTGCTAGCCAGAAAGCTGGCAGTTCAAACCCACCAGCCACTCCTCAGAAGAAAGTTAGGGCAATCTCTTCTGTAGTGATATCACCTCAGAAACCCAAGGAGGGGTCGCTTTGAGTCGGATCCAACTCAACGGCAATGAGTTTGGTTTTGGTTTTTTAATAATAGTATTAGAGGCACTTATAATAGATAATAGGAGCTCCGGTAGTGTAGTACCTTAGGCTTTTGACTGCTATCCACAAGGTTGGCGGTTCAAACCCACCAGCCACTCCATGGAAGGAAGACTGGGTAATATACTTCTATAAAGATTTACTGCCTTGGAAACTCAAAGGGGGTCGCTGTGAGTCAGAATTGACTCGATAGCAGTGAGTTTGGTTTTTGGTTTGTATAGTAGTATTAAAGGTTAGCTTGCTATCCTTTTCCTAATAAGAGCGCTAAAGTTTTATCAATAATACTCGATTTATCACTGAAGATCAGATTAAATCTATGAACTGTTTCACTGAAAACTTTAAAAAAAATTGTTTGTCATATATGACAAGTAAGATAGTAAATTGATACTTAAAATACAGTTAAAGTCATAGTACCCTATACCTGAAACTAGCATTTTCTCCTCTTATTCAGTAGCATATTTGTGGCATAAAACTATATGCCCAAAATATATTGCTTGATAACAAGTCATCATTAAGATCTTCCAATTTAACATATTCTTTCTACAATTATTTTCAGTAAAATTTTTTAAGGAATAAATGGTGAAAATATTCCTTCTACCTCTTCATTACCCTTAAAAAATTCATTCTATTTGTCCTTAGAGAATTTTTATTCATCCATCCATTTACCAGATATATATGAAGTACCAAATATTTTTGTCAGCTGGAATATGGTGGGGATCCACCACTGCTTTTAGTATGCTTATAGTATGGTGGGAAGGAACATTTTAAGTAGTTACACTTGTAATGAGATAAGCTTTGTAAGCATTTATAGCAGGGGATCAGACTCAGCCTAGGTGTTGGGAAAGGTAGCATTTATACTAAGACCTGAAGGCTGAGTGAGAGCTAAGTAGGCCAAAAGCACTTGCAAGCTTTAAAGTTTGAAGAAACTGATTTGTTTACTGATTTCTATGTATATAAACCAAAATTGGGTCGGATTCAAGTCATAGTGACCCCTCCTTGGGTTTCCGAGGTGGTATCGCTAAGGACGTAGATTTCGCCCAATCTTCCTTCCAAGGAATGGCTTCTGGGTTTGTACCACCAGCCTTCTAGTTAGCAGTCAAATGCCCTAGGCACTACACCACCAGAGCTCCTAGTGCTGACTATGTGCCAGGCACTGTTCTAAGCATTTCATAGTTTTAATCTTTTTAATAAACCTATAGATAGATATAAGAGCTCTGGTAGCATAGTGCCTAAGGCACTTGACAGCTAACCAGAAGGCTGGGATTCAAACCCACCAGCCACTCCTCAGAAGGAAGGTTGGGCAATCTACTTCCTTAGTGATACTGCCTCGGAAACCCAAGGAGGGGTCACTATGGGTCGAGTCCTAATCAACGGCACATAACAACAGCAACAACAGCAATAGGTAGATACCATTGCTTTCCCCATTTTAATGAGGAGCTGAAACCAAGAGGCCCAGAGTCATACGGCCAGAAAGTAGAAGAATCAGGCTCCAGATCTATGTTCTACTTATATCACCATGCTGGTGCTTAGAGCAACAATGAGGTCCTCTCAACAGCCTTATGGAAAAAAAAAAAAAAAATGGTAAGATTGTCTTAATGTGAAACTAGAAAGCCAACATACAAGGTTTTGTTTTGGAGCAGAGATTCCCAGGCATTCAGACTCAGATACTAGAGATTCTCAATGGCCACATATCCCTGTACAGGTTTTGGACTCATCTGTCTGTCTGATGTGAATGGTATTAAATATTTTAATCATCTAGCCAACTCCCCTTGTTCTGAAATCATGACCCCAGAGCAGCCTTCAGGGAGCCCTGGTGGTACAGTTGTTAAAGTGTTCTTCTACCAGCCACTCTGCAGGAGAAAGATGTGGCAATCTGCTTCTGTAAAGATTGCAGCCTTGGAAACCCTATGAGGGCAGTTCCACTCTGTCCTCTAGGGTCACTGTGAGTTGGAAATGACTCCACAGCAATGGGTTGCTTTTTAGGAGTTGATTTTTAAAACAGCCTTTAGATGACACTTCGGTTCCCTGTATAGTTCTGCCCACAGGCCAGTGTATGGTCATGGTGTAAGCACTCCATTGTGTGATTACTGAAATTTCCCCTGCAAGTTGATACATTTCCCTTCTGATGTGCTTATCCATTTCCTGCAAGCTTTTTGATATGAGGCCACCATGGAAAGAGTGGTCTATTGTTAGCACTAACTAAGCAGAGAAACAGATTCCACCCAGACTGTAAACTCTTTGGTGCAAATACTGCCTTAAACCCAGCCTTTAGCAGCCAGCCAACTGCTCATTTCTAGTGCTTTTCTTTCAGATGTTTGCAGTTCTTGATTCTGTTCGAGCTATGTACGTTCTAAACATTAAAATTTCTTGTAGAATATTATAGTTCACATTTCCTGAACATTAACCATATGCTCGCAATATGAAGATGATGTTGTTGTTGTTATTTGCCATCGAGTCGGCTCCGACTCATAGCGACCCCTCCTTGGGTTTCCGAGGCAGTATCGCTATGGAAGTAGGATTGCCCAAGCTTCCTTCTGAGGAGTGGCTGGTGGGTTTGAACTGCCAGCCTTCTGGTTAGGAGTCAAGTGCCTTAGGCACTATGCTACCAGAGCTCCTATGAAGATGATAGTATATACTATCATCTTCATATATATATATATATATATATATATATGAAGATGATAGTATATACTTATTCCACAAATAAGGGAATTGAGGCAAAGAGAAGTTAACCACCTTGCTCAAAGTAACAGTTTGTTAGTGGATTCAGCCAGGATTCAATGCAGGCAGTCTGATTCCAGACCCCATATTCAATCTATATGCTCTACTGCTTCTTGAAAAAACACATAGTTCACTTCTAGTGTAGCGTTCCTGTGTGAAGACTAACACATTTTATCTTATAGAGATATATTTTCAGAGGACCAGTCAAAACCAAACCAAACTCATTGCCATGAAGTTGATTCTGACTCAGCCCCTCCCACTGGATTTCCAAGGCTGTAAATCTTTATGGAAGCAGACCGCTTCATCTTATTTCCATGGTGCAGCTGGTGGGTTTGAATCATCAACCATTTAGCAACCCAATGCCTTAATCACTACACCATCAGAGCTCCTTCAAAGGCCTAATAAGTTGAAGAAAATGCTGTGTCTTAAATATTTTATCATACTATGTCTTGACAATTTTCTTTGGTAAATTACTAATTCAAAATGCATTTGATTTGTTTGGTTTAACTTCTGTGTTGTTTTTTTCCCCTCCCCTAGATCGTGTCTTTCATAGCAATGAAACTACTAAAAATGTATATGAAGAAATAGCAGTACCAATCATAGAGTCTGCCATACAAGGCTACAATGGTTTGTATTTACCACATGGTACAGAAACATATTAGTTTTGTGTGCCTCTTCAACAAATGATGATAGTTTCACACACTGTATATTCATTTCTAATCTTTGCATGTATGTGTGTGTTTTATTTTTTGCAGGGACTATATTTGCCTATGGGCAGACTGCTTCAGGAAAAACATACACTATGATGGGTTCACAAGATTACTTGGGTGTAATACCCAGGGCAATTCATGACATTTTCAAAAAAATTAAGGAGGTAAATTACTTAGCTGAATTCTAGTTCATGCAAATCAAGGTTGTAACTGGATAGCGGTCTTAGTGTTTTTCTTTTATAACAATGAAAGGATGTAGATTTACATTTATCTCTTGATTATCCATGGGGAAAAAAGAAAGGCATAGCATAGATTTACTTTTTACCCCAGAAACTTACTTTACATAACTCCAAGTCATTTATCCTTTCCCTGCAACAGTATTGCTCCCACCAAAAATATGGGCATTTGTGAACAGGAAAGTCTTGCCAGAATGATTTACTTGATGTCTTGTTGAGCTACTAGTGATTATTCAGGAACAGTAAAATAACTAAAATGTGATACAGGTAAAAGGGAAGCAGAAAGCCAGAGGCAGCCTAACTAGGTAAGAGTTGATTTTAAATGAGCTTTATCAGTAACAGCAGAACATCTATAGCTGAGGTTTTATTTTGAGTTTAGGGAGTTGACCCACATTCTCCTTCTAATTCTTTATTTGCAAGTACTGTACTATACTTTTCATTATTTCTGAAACAATGATTTTTCTATTTTTGTGTTTACTATTCTTCACATAGAACCATAGGGCTTTTTGGTTTTTTTGTTTATTTGATAATTTCCTTCTTTACCTCTTTAATATTAGCACAAGAGCTATTCAGAATCAAGTTTTCATAATTGGATGCTCTCTGATGTTTTTATTTTTCTTCCAGTTTCCTGATAGAGAATTTCTTTTACGTGTTTCTTACATGGAAATATACAATGAAACCATTACAGATTTACTCTGTGACACTAGAAAAATGAAACCTTTAATAATTCGAGAAGACTTCAATGTGAGTAGTAGAGTTAGTGTACACTTACTTATTAAGATTATTGTTCTTAAACATTTGCCTTTAATGTCTATTTTTTAAAAAATTTCTCCTGTCTTTAGTTTTTTTTTAAGTGTTTATAGAGATCCATCTTTTAACCAATTATCTATTGTTTTAAAATACAGATGCAATATTTTGGTTTAAGTATTTAAAGATAGTAAGATAGTAAGTAGTATCAGATTAGAATTTGGTGTGCTTTGAAATAAGAAATAAATTGTGAGTTTCATAATTTTCTTGTTGTTTTCCTACTCACTGATTGTTCCCATTTTCTTTGTACAACTTTCATAAGTTAATTCCATAATATGTGCCTTTTTGAGATTCACACTTTTAATCGGGTGGAGGGTTGACGAAAAAGGGGGAGGCCTTCAACAAGATGGATTGACACAGTGGCTACGATGATGGGCTCAAGTATAGCAGGGATTGTGGGGCTGGCGCGGGATCAGGCAGGGTTTCGTTTTGCTGTGCATGGGGTCGCTATGAGTCGGAAACAACTTGATGGCACCTAACAACAACAATTTCTCTAATCTTCCTGTAATTAAACTTGTTTCAGAGGAATGTATATGTTTCTGATCTCACAGAAGAAGTGGTTTATACATCAGAAATGGCTTTGAAGTGGATCACAAAGGGAGAAAGTAAGACTTGATGCTGTCTGTATTCTGTACCATATTTGTAAAAAGTAACTCAGCATTATCTTTAAGTGTCAGTTCACACATTTTACTTTTTTTTATTTTTATTTTTTTTATTATTAGGATTTGAGTGAAGATTTACAGAGTAAATTCACTTTTCATACAG